GGCTGGTAGTGGTTAAAAGGGTTTTTATAGGTGGGGGGGAGGTAGAAAGACCTTTCTCAATAGGTCCATTTGGTTATCTATCCAAAGAGCCTTCATACTGGATAAACCTCACATCACTATTTGAGTTTAAGACATCTTTACCATTAAATAGCTCATTCACAAGTCCTATGTGGCTTGAGCCAATATCCATGAAACGAAAGGTTAGGTACATTAACCCTAACCCTCCTTAATCCTCCAACAGGTGAAGGATTGAGGAGGGTTAGGGTTAAAGGCAGAGTGTAGGGAAATGTGGTGACGGTGTTTTTACCACCAGCTGATCCTCCGTGGTTTCGTCGTTGCCTTGGGCTTTCTGCAGCCGGGCGATGGTATTCTCTCTGAACCTGACGATCATCTTGGTGGATTGAAGGTACTGCTCCTTCTTGTTGGACAAGTCTTCCAGCCTGGAGATCTTCTCCAGTAGATTCTGCGGCAGGACACAGAAACTCAAAATCAGGTTGGATGACACAGGCTGGTAGTCCATTATCTTGACAGTAACAAGGTACTGCTCCAATAAGTTGAGCAGTTTTTTGTGACAAACAAAATTTCAATGGAAATGCTGGGAACGCCAGTGGCAACTGAATAAAAGCTCTACAGACGTGAACAATGTGCAATGCCTACGGTCCTTTGTATACAATTTTCATCTTTTTCAAAATTATATACATAGCAGTATTCAAATTCAAGATTGATAGATCTCATTCATGAACTCATCAAAGACAACAAAACTGAACCAATTTTGAGGCCAGAGCTTGGTTTAAAGATGTTTAGGCCATGGAAACAGTAGTCAAATTCAGGCTTTATTAGACGCAATCCTCCACTACAAATTCTCAAACACAGTGGACTTCATGCAGTTCCTACTGTTTATGACATTCACAAGAGGAACATTTGAAGTATGCTTGAAAGAGCGAGCAGGGCACATGCATTTCGGTGAAGGGTTACATTCAACTAATTTTGCGCTCAAAGACACATCTGTCTGATGGGATAGGCCATGACAATGCAATACAAGCCAATGTGTTCATTAATCC